TGAACTCGCACAGCAGGCCGGAGGAGGTGATGCAGAAGGTGGAGGCGGCTTGTCTGCCCCGTCCACACGCCACATCACTGAAGAAGTTATTCCTCAGCTCGCCGAGCAGTCCCGAGCGCCCGAGCAAGGGCACGGTGGCGTTCACCTGCAGACACAGAAACCATCAGTAACCGCACAGGAAGTCCCAGCCGATCAATCTTTAGGTGGGCGGTCACGCGGGAACCTTGCAGGTCTTGGCGTGGTCCAGGTACCAGAACTTGACGTGTCGGTTTCCAGCGGTAACGAAGTAGGAGCTGTCATCCGAGAAGGAGACGGCGGTCACTTTGCTGGACACCTTATTGGACGCCACGACTACGTTTTTCTGAAACGGACAGACAGCATCAGGTGAGCACGAAGACCTTTTCTCAGGTGGCATCATCAGGTGCACTCGGCCACGCCTCCGTCACCTTCCAGTTCCATACGTTGACCACCATGTCGTGCTGGTAGCCCACGCTGACAATGTACTTCCCATTTGGAGAGAACGCCACGCACGCAATGCCATATTTATGTTCCTGCAGCTCGCACACCTGAATGCACTCTGATACCTCCCAGACCCGGACCGCCGGCATGTGACCACTCTGAGGTGACAAGAAGGAAAAAAATAAGCATCATCTCTCACCTGAGGCACCAGGTGAGCACCTGAGCGCTGTCGTCGCATGCTCACCTCTCCTGTGACCACATACTTCCCGTCTGGCGAAAATGCCAGCGTCGTGATTGCCTTCCTGTAACAGGAAACGGTCTTTATTCCATGTTTTCCTTACAGAAGCAGACAAGAAGTGTGATCTGATTGGCTGCTGGAGTCTTACCTGGAGCTGTTGAAGATGTGATGCTGTTTGTTCTTCCGTGGATTCAGCAGCACGACCACACACCTGCAATCACACGGCCAGGTAACATGATCAAAACACTCATTCACAGGAAGGCAGAGAAAGTTGTCTGGTTTCCAAAATAAAAGACCTGGGACGGTTTTCCTTCAATAGGATGGAGGAAAATGTCCATCCTATCCGGTTGTTAAGTGGTGATGTGACGAATCCTACTTCCGGGCCTAAAGTAGTCT